AGCCCACTGCCACGCCCACAAAATGGCGGAAACCGAAAACCTATAAAGTGTCATAACTAAGCCATAAATAAAGATATTAAAATGAAATTTGGCACAAAGTATCACATTAGGGAGGGGCATATTTGAACGTAGTTATTTTGGAAAAGTGGTCGGGGCGGGGCCACTAACCTACTAACTTTTTTGTACATATCTCGAAAACTACTATAGCTATGTCAACCAAACTCTATAGAGTCGTTGCTTTTAGGCATTTCCATATACAGTTCAAAAATGGAAGAAATCGGATAATAACCACGCCCACCTCCCATATAAAGGTTATGTTGAAAATCACTAAAAGTGCGTTAACCGACTAACAGAAAACGTCAGAAACACTAAGTTTTACGGAGGAAATGTCAGAAGGAAGCTGCATCCAAGCTTTTTTTTTTAAATTGAAAATGGGCGTGGCGTCATCCACTTATGGACCAAAAAMCATATCTCAGGAAGTACTCAATCGATTTAAATGAAATTCAGTATATAATATTTTCTTAACACTGTGATCACATGTACCAAATATGGGTGAAATCGGTTCACAATCACGCCTGAAATCTCGATTATCACTTTATCATGCGAAAGTATAAAATGTTTGGTGACACCCGAACTAAGCCCTTCCTTACTTGTTTTTAATGGTTTCGCCCGAAAATTTTTTTTTTTTTGGGTGTCCACTGCCTTCTCATCTTCGTTACTCATACTCGTATGACTTGTACCTAAGTTGGCAAATGCATTAACTAGTATTAGTTACTTTTGCTAATGTAAGCCACATATGGATATAAAAAGTAGTGCTCTCTAAAGCCACACTCCGTAAACAGCATGAACATCTGCAATGAGCGGCGCTTGACATCAGTGATGCACTACGTACAACACCGGTAATGACACTTGATGACATTCTTAAAGCACACATGGACCATAGCTGGCAGATGCATTGCTGCGCAAGTTGTTATCAAACTTTGGGAAACTGGAGGCATTAAGGGTTCCGAGTAATGCCATCTTTTTTAATTTTTTTTTAAGGAACATATTACAAGCAGCATCTTCTCCATACACATACAATATAGAGATGTAGGTGGAGTCAATTAACTCCTGTTTCAGATAGGCATTATACTCCTTGATTATGTTCTCAAAGATAGTCAAGGAATATATGACCTCACTAGAAGTAGCTTCATCTTCCATATTAAATATGACTGGATACGTGGGTACAGCGGAATCGTTGAAAATTGTGAAGCCAATGAGCTTGGAAAGGAAAGGAATCCATACTACATTTCCATCCGGAAGGGACCGGATCGGAGTTCCCCTGTCTTCATGCATTTGGATGCTGGAAATATGGACGTTGCGCGACGTCAACAGGCAGCCAGCACTTGTGGGGTTGAGAAAGTTTCTAGCCCAGAGTAAAGCGTATAAGGCCCATTGAACTGCTAGCTTCTAGCAAGTCTCACATATCCACAAAGTA